AGTTTTCCTTATAAATGTAAAGTATTAACTAACACTTCCAGACAGACTGAAACAAGTATGGTCACAAGACTGCATATGATTAGGTGCCAAAAGATAATACCAGCTAGGAATTCTGAAAATAAACAGGCACTTAAGCTGAAGTGGTCAGAAAAATTGTACAGAAAAGATGAGAACTGAGGTAGGCCCTAAAGTATTTGGATAGGTGGTGAGAAGGGTGAGGGCACTCCAGGTGAGAAGGCTATACAAGATCAAGGATCAGGAATTCAACATTTGACAAATAAAAAAGAATCTGGCTATAGCAGTAAGGCAGAGTGGAAGAGTAAATTCACTAACAAAGGAGTCTGGAAGGGAACATGGCATCAGACTTGGAGGGGCCCTAAATGACCTTGTATCTCTAGGTGATGGCCTAATGATGTATTTCCATGGACTTTCCTGCAATAAACAATGGTTGAAAACAGTATTCCTTGAAAAATGATCCCTCCCTTTCAGAATTCCTCAGAATCAAGGAAGAGAGCAAAAGTATGGAGTCAGCAATCTGACCATCTTTCACAATGTAATTTTGAAACTTTTAATTAGGTTTCTATTTTCACCAGATCTGGCCAAATTCTCAGTTTGGCTAAGATGAACAATAATATTATTTCATAAAGGATAAATTAAGATTTGGGCTCTTAAGGAAACAAACCTAGAGATATTCAAGGGCTGCTCCACGGTAACGGCAATGATCATGCTGATCTAAACACAACAGAAATATAATCTCTACAATTAATGCCTAAAATGAAATGCTAACATAAATTGCTAAAAATAAGTCATTGTTTCAAGGAGCATGATACAACTGAAAAGAGCACATTAAAATCTGCTAAATCTGTTAATAGGACAGGAGAAGGCCAAGGAATGGATTTATGCTGATTCACACGGTTTTACTGCAGTTACTCAGTTTAAGTAAAAAATTCGTTTGTCATCCTTTCCTTATCGCCAAGTACCTCAACATCCCGCTCAGTTCTGCAAGTCAAAACGGTATTCTTGGATAAAATTCTGTAAGTTGATGACAACGAAAAATAAAATGACCTGTTCAAAGTCATACAAATTATCAGCACCTATCCTGGTGTTAGGAATCCCAATGTACCGAAGGGGGCGTGTCGCGCGGGTTGGAACGGTTGAGCACGCCCAGGCCGGAGACTTGGGAGCTCAAGCCTATGACTACACGGCACCGCGTGTGCTGCCGGGAAGAGCTTGTTTGCGCCAGTGTCTTATACCCGGATGTCTGCAGAGGCGGGGATAGCTAACGGCCAGTCGCTCTCGGCTCTGCCTTCCCCATCACCTTCCCCAGCGCCCTGCGTACGTAGAACCTACGTTACCTTTCCTAGAGCTCCGTTCATCCTTTGCTGCTGCGGCCTGTATTTGTGCAAACTGAAGATCCACCCGAGCAGCAGCGATCCCGGACGTCTGAAAGCACGGACGGAACAGCCTTGATTGGGTCCAGTGACAATATCCCACCGAGACTCGCTCAACTTCCGCAGCACCTTGGTTCCGGCAGCTTCCGAGGCTCAGGATCTAGAAATCCTCCGACTCCGCCCTCACTACCACTCAAATGTCACCTTCGCTGCTACTTCTCCAGGCAGAATTAGTTGCTGTATCCATGTTGCCCCTACATTTTGCACACAATTCTGGTATTTCATCTGCCATACTACGTATTTATTACTTGTGACGATCTCGTCCTTTATTTTATTGTGAGTTCCTCAAGTGCTGAGATCTTAACCTGATTAATTCATTCCAGCATCTAGAACAGGAAGTGCGATCTGACTTCTAACCTCTATTTAAAAGCGGACTGACCCTAAGTGAGCCTTTCTGACAGTCTGTTAGTTCATAATAATTGATAGTCATTAACTTTTATTTAGTAACCACTATGTGTAATGCATTATATTCAGTTCATCACTTAATTTATCCCTCACAAGGCTGTTAGTGAGATATTATCACATGATTTTACATATAAGGACATTGAAGGCGGTTAAGAGATTTGTCTGAGGCAGAGCTGAGTTTCACAGGGTCTTATTTATGCAAAATGTTTTCCCTCTGAAACATCCCTTCTCTCTTGAGATAATGTCAATGCGCACATTCATTTACCTCCTTTACACACAATAACCATTTACTTAGCATGAATTTGTGCCAGTCCTTTGACTGAACCCAGGGAACGCAGAGATGAATACTACATGGTCCCTGCTCTTAGAAGGCTCATGGAGGATTGCATCAAACTAAAAAGCTTCTGTGCAGGAAAAAAAACAGTCAACAGAGCAAAAAACCTACAGAATGGGAGAAAATATTGCAAATCATACTTCTGATAAGGAGTTAATATCCAAAATATATAAGGAATTCAAGAAAACAACTGGATTTAGAAATGGCCAAAGGACCTGAAGAAACATTTCTCAAAAGAAGACATAAAAATGGTGAACAAAATATATGAAAAGATTCCCAACATCACTAACCACCAGGGAAATGCAAAACAAAACCACAAAGAGATATTACTTCACACATGTTAGAATGGCTAGTATCAAAAAGACAAAAGATAAGTGTTGGCAAAGATGTGGAGAAAAGGAAATCCTGCACTGTTCGTGGGAATGATCATAATGATTATAAATTGACACAGCCATTATAGAAAACAATGAAAATAGTATATGTAATGGAATATTACACCAACCTTTAAAAAGAAGGAAATGTGACATGAATGAACCTGGAGGACATTATACTAAATGAAATAAGCCAGGCACAGAAAGATAAATAGTCCATGATCTCACTCATATGTGGAATCTAAAATAGTCAAACTCATAGAAGCAGAGTATAGAATGGTGGTTAACGGGCTGGGGTGGTGGTCGTAGGAGCGGAACATAGGTGAAATGTCAAAGGGTACAAAGTTTCAGTTATGTAAGATTAATAAGTCTAGAGATCTAATGTATAGCATGACTATCATTAATAATATTGAATACTGGAAATATGCTGAGAATAGATTTCAGATGCTCCCATCACCAAAAAAAGGTAACTACGTGTGGAGATGGTATGTTGACTAGCTTAACAGTAGTAATCATTTCACCATGTATATGTATAAAAAATCACATGTGCATCCTAAATATATACAATTTTTAAAAGTGGTTCATAGAGATTAGTAGAGAGGCCAAGTCTTAGACAATTATAAAGCAATGAGGAAGTCCAATTACAGAGATATACACATAAACTCTGTGTCTGAAGGGAGTACATAGTCATATAAAGTCAACATCAAGTGAAATAACAAATATGCAGTTATTTTTATTGTTGCTGTTACTATTTTTATTACTGTTATTGTCATTAGCAAGGAAACAGCATAAAAACTGCTAAATATCAGTGGGGTTTTAGTGATACGGAGTTTGCTTTTTCTCATTTTATCCACAGCAAATGAAAGCAGTTTAATAATAGTAGGATAAGATCAATATTCCTATTTGCAGTCCTTCACACCTTACAAAGTACTCTTACATTATCTTCTATATTCTTTACAATTCCATATGGTAGGCACCATCACCTGCATTTTACAGATATGAAACTGATGTGGAGAGGCCAAATAGCCAATGTAAGGTCATGTGGCTATAAAAGGATTGAACCCAGGTCTGATGCAAATCCCATGAGTTTTCCTTATAAATGTAAAGTATTAACTAACACTTCCAGACAGACTGAAACAAGTATGGTCACAAGACTGCATATGATTAGGTGCCAAAAGATAATACCAGCTAGGAATTCTGAAAATAAACAGGCACTTAAGCTGAAGTGGTCAGAAAAATTGTACAGAAAAGATGAGAACTGAGGTAGGCCCTAAAGTATTTGGATAGGTGGTGAGAAGGGTGAGGGCACTCCAGGTGAGAAGGCTATACAAGATCAAGGATCAGGAATTCAACATTTGACAAATAAAAAAGAATCTGGCTATAGCAGTAAGGCAGAGTGGAAGAGTAAATTCACTAACAAAGGAGTCTGGAAGGGAACATGGCATCAGACTTGGAGGGGCCCTAAATGACCTTGTATCTCTAGGTGATGGCCTAATGATGTATTTCCATGGACTTTCCTGCAATAAACAATGGTTGAAAACAGTATTCCTTGAAAAATGATCCCTCCCTTTCAGAATTCCTCAGAATCAAGGAAGAGAGCAAAAGTATGGAGTCAGCAATCTGACCATCTTTCACAATGTAATTTTGAAACTTTTAATTAGGTTTCTATTTTCACCAGATCTGGCCAAATTCTCAGTTTGGCTAAGATGAACAATAATATTATTTCATAAAGGATAAATTAAGATTTGGGCTCTTAAGGAAACAAACCTAGAGATATTCAAGGGCTGCTCCACGGTAACGGCAATGATCATGCTGATCTAAACACAACAGAAATATAATCTCTACAATTAATGCCTAAAATGAAATGCTAACATAAATTGCTAAAAATAAGTCATTGTTTCAAGGAGCATGATACAACTGAAAAGAGCACATTAAAATCTGCTAAATCTGTTAATAGGACAGGAGAAGGCCAAGGAATGGATTTATGCTGATTCACACGGTTTTACTGCAGTTACTCAGTTTAAGTAAAAAATTCGTTTGTCATCCTTTCCTTATCGCCAAGTACCTCAACATCCCGCTCAGTTCTGCAAGTCAAAACGGTATTCTTGGATAAAATTCTGTAAGTTGATGACAACGAAAAATAAAATGACCTGTTCAAAGTCATACAAATTATCAGCACCTATCCTGGTGTTAGGAATCCCAATGTACCGAAGGGGGCGTGTCGCGCGGGTTGGAACGGTTGAGCACGCCCAGGCCGGAGACTTGGGAGCTCAAGCCTATGACTACACGGCACCGCGTGTGCTGCCGGGAAGAGCTTGTTTGCACCAGTGTCTTATACCCGGATGTCTGCAGAGGCGGGGATAGCTAACGGCCAGTCGCTCTCGGCTCTGCCTTCCCCATCACCTTCCCCAGCGCCCTGCGTACGTAGAACCTACGTTACCTTTCCTAGAGCTCCGTTCATCCTTTGCTGCTGCGGCCTGTATTTGTGCAAACTGAAGATCCACCCGAGCAGCAGCGATCCCGGACGTCTGAAAGCACGGACGGAACAGCCTTGATTGGGTCCAGTGACAATATCCCACCGAGACTCGCTCAACTTCCGCAGCACCTTGGTTCCGGCAGCTTCCGAGGCTCAGGATCTAGAAATCCTCCGACTCCGCCCTCACTACCACTCAAATGTCACCTTCGCTGCTACTTCTCCAGGCAGAATTAGTTGCTGTATCCATGTTGCCCCTACATTTTGCACACAATTCTGGTATTTCATCTGCCATACTACGTATTTATTACTTGTGACGATCTCGTCCTTTATTTTATTGTGAGTTCCTCAAGTGCTGAGATCTTAACCTGATTAATTCATTCCAGCATCTAGAACAGGAAGTGCGATCTGACTTCTAACCTCTATTTAAAAGCGGACTGACCCTAAGTGAGCCTTTCTGACAGTCTGTTAGTTCATAATAATTGATAGTCATTAACTTTTATTTAGTAACCACTATGTGTAATGCATTATATTCAGTTCATCACTTAATTTATCCCTCACAAGGCTGTTAGTGAGATATTATCACATGATTTTACATATAAGGACATTGAAGGCGGTTAAGAGATTTGTCTGAGGCAGAGCTGAGTTTCACAGGGTCTTATTTATGCAAAATGTTTTCCCTCTGAAACATCCCTTCTCTCTTGAGATAATGTCAATGCGCACATTCATTTACCTCCTTTACACACAATAACCATTTACTTAGCATGAATTTGTGCCAGTCCTTTGACTGAACCCAGGGAACGCAGAGATGAATACTACATGGTCCCTGCTCTTAGAAGGCTCATGGAGGATTGCATCAAACTAAAAAGCTTCTGTGCAGGAAAAAAAACAGTCAACAGAGCAAAAAACCTACAGAATGGGAGAAAATATTGCAAATCATACTTCTGATAAGGAGTTAATATCCAAAATATATAAGGAATTCAAGAAAACAACTGGATTTAGAAATGGCCAAAGGACCTGAAGAAACATTTCTCAAAAGAAGACATAAAAATGGTGAACAAAATATATGAAAAGATTCCCAACATCACTAACCACCAGGGAAATGCAAAACAAAACCACAAAGAGATATTACTTCACACATGTTAGAATGGCTAGTATCAAAAAGACAAAAGATAAGTGTTGGCAAAGATGTGGAGAAAAGGAAATCCTGCACTGTTCGTGGGAATGATCATAATGATTATAAATTGACACAGCCATTATAGAAAACAATGAAAATAGTATATGTAATGGAATATTACACCAACCTTTAAAAAGAAGGAAATGTGACATGAATGAACCTGGAGGACATTATACTAAATGAAATAAGCCAGGCACAGAAAGATAAATAGTCCATGATCTCACTCATATGTGGAATCTAAAATAGTCAAACTCATAGAAGCAGAGTATAGAATGGTGGTTAACGGGCTGGGGTGGTGGTCGTAGGAGCGGAACATAGGTGAAATGTCAAAGGGTACAAAGTTTCAGTTATGTAAGATTAATAAGTCTAGAGATCTAATGTATAGCATGACTATCATTAATAATATTGAATACTGGAAATATGCTGAGAATAGATTTCAGATGCTCCCATCACCAAAAAAAGGTAACTACGTGTGGAGATGGTATGTTGACTAGCTTAACAGTAGTAATCATTTCACCATGTATATGTATAAAAAATCACATGTGCATCCTAAATATATACAATTTTTAAAAGTGGTTCATAGAGATTAGTAGAGAGGCCAAGTCTTAGACAATTATAAAGCAATGAGGAAGTCCAATTACAGAGATATACACATAAACTCTATGTCTGAAGGGAGTACATAGTCATATAAAGTCAACATCAAGTGAAATAACAAATATGCAGTTATTTTTATTGTTGCTGTTACTATTTTTATTACTGTTATTGTCATTAGCAAGGAAACAGCATAAAAACTGCTAAATATCAGTGGGGTTTTAGTGATACGGAGTTTGCTTTTTTGCCAGAAATGCTGCCAAGATCTCCTATCTCAGTGTTCAGTGAATCCTTCCTATGATGGAATTCCAAGGAGCTACAAAGGTTTCCTTTAGCTTTCCCACTAGACTGTGAGCATTTTTAAAACAGTCTTCTTTTATTTCTACCTCAAAGATTAACACAGATATTATTGTGTTTATGGTTTTGTACTTTTCAAACCACAAGTAAACATTATGCAATTTTGTCAAAGGTAGGATGATAAGTATGTTTTCTCACTTTGTAGATGACAAAACTGAAAAGAAGAAGATAGGTGGCTTGCCTAAGATTAAACAACTTGGGCATGACAAAAATAGGGTAATGACAATAGGCTTTTTAGCTCTTGAAGTCCCTTTTTATGGTCAACAACACCAAAAGCAAACTAAAAACTCTGAGATCTTCCCATTGCCAACCCTTAATCTCAAACCAACATTTGGTGAATTGCACATATCAATTTGGGCCACAAACAACTTTATTGAGGAATAACAATGCAGTCAGCCTTTTCCCAAATAAGAATGGAGGTTAAATGCACTGATGCACTGACTTCTTCCTTAGCCCTGTAAATTTCTTCCTCCACTCCAGACAGATGACTCCCAATATTTGCCCATTTCATCTTATATTTACTCCTATGCAGCACATTCTTAAATGAGAATTCAATTTTCTTTGTATCCCCAGAATTTGGCATGGTTGTTATGCCATTATATTATGAATATAATGAGGCTTCAATAAATGTAAATGAAATAATGAATGAGTGACTATTAAAAAGCTCCTAGAAGTAACTATGCATTTCAGGTTTTCCAAGATATTCCACCACAAGAAAAGTACAGAAGAGGTTTTGCCTTTCTAGCTTTATTTTTATAAGCAGCCTTTTTTAAAAGGTTTTTTTTTAAACCCTGCGCCAGTCCTCAGCACCACTACATCAGAGAAAGCCTTAGGGAAGAACAGAACAAAGGCAGACTCTTTAGAAAATATGTTTGATCTCAGGTTAAACTTCCTTTAAAGTAATAATTCTATGGTACCTATAATAAAGTTTCCCAAAGGTGCCAAATAGCTCTAATTTAGACTTTACGTGAAAATATATGCATTAATCTACCTCTGATTGAGAACTGTTTCAGCTTCAGCAGAAATTTTCTGCTTCTATTTTTCAGTAAGTTTTTTTTCACATGCAAAAAAAAATATGCTTAAAAGAACAAAAAAGACAAAAAGACAAAGGTGGAAGAAAGCTGGCTAATGAAAAGCCAGAAAGAGTTGATGCTGGCTCCCCAGCCTATACTTTACCACAGCTTTCTGCTCCCAAAGGCTGAGCTGAGTGAGTGTGGATTACCTAACCCTGGAGAAAGAGAGAAAGGATGATGAAAGAGGCTGCAAGAAGGAAGCTGAAGTGGTTACAGAAATCACACAAGCCTGTAAGAAGGGAGGGAGACAGTGCAAAGAACCACTCACCAGACAGCTAGATGTGCAATGCACTTGAGAATCTTTCTAGAAGCCCAGAACCTGTATTCTGGTTGGTCCAGCCCAGCCTCCAGCACAGGGCTCCTGGGAAAGTATCTACTACACAAAGCTTTCCTAACATAGGGATACTGGGATACTTGCCCCCCTCCGAAAGGCTATCTATCCATTCCCCTATCCTCCTATCTGGTTCAGGTTGACCTGCACTAAGCCACCTTTTATAGTTTATACTACCACTCGACAACATAAAAAACACTTTTGTTACAGACTAGGAAGAATCCTTTGTATTGCTGCTGTCCAAGGCCCAGATATCAATGAAAAACAGAAACAGTAAAGCAGTAATTTCACTTTAGCAAACTACTCCTAGCCTCTTGTGTAATTCTGCCTAGCAGTTTGGGATTAGGAGACACAGGTGCAGATTTTACAAAATCATGATGTGGAGGCTGATTTTAAAATAAATTCCTCAGAAGATAGAAATATCTCCTTAACCTACTGAGCGAGAGGCTCCCAACCTTCAACTCCAACTTTCCTCTCTTTATCTTCATCCTTTTACCTTTTCCTCTTTACCTTTAAATCTACTGCCCAAGGTCCACTTCCATTGCCTCTCACCTGAACTATTATGCTGGTCTTCCAACTGATCGACGAGCTTTTAGTTTCATCCTTATTGCAGTTTATTTTCAAAAGCAGTCTTTCAGAAGCATATATTACAGAAATTATAATCTAAAAAACAAAATATCAATAAATAAAAACCTTCAGTAGCTACTTATATCCTCCAATTTAGCAACACACTCCTTACCTTGGCATTCATAACAATCATGATCTATCTCTAATTTACCATCCAAAACATTCTTATTCACAAAGCCATTTCTCCTACTACACTAAGAACTCTGTTCAATATATTTTCTTAAACCTCTATTATGGACTTTGTCATTTGTATCATAGTAATTAATAGATGTCTGACAACCAGTTCATAGTCCTTGATTTAGAATCCTTATCTGATTAAATATTGTGTTTCTCCCAGCATTTTTATAACATGTACATACCAGAGGTAACAGAAAATATTTGTGGACAAACATTAGGCTTACTAGAGAATTCCAACATCTTTGGTTCCAAGGTTTGCTGACCAAAGTGTAAATTGCTCTCACGATAATCTACACCTATTTGAGCTTCTGAGAGCCTTTCCTTTAAAAGGTGTGTGTCAGGGCCGAGGGGCACATACTTACTGTAAAACATTTGGAGAAGACAGAAAACTAAAAAATTAAAAAGAAAAAATTTATGCAATCCAAGGATAGCTGATATGTTAAAATTGCATTTATATTTCTCTTTCATCCATGTGTTTTAAAATAGTTTTAATATAGGCTGCATACAATTTTAGAGGCAGTTTTGCTTCCAGCATATATGACATCAGCTAGTCTCCACTTTATTAAAAATTCATTGCAAATATTTTGTAGCTGTATAATATTCTATTATAAAAATGCATCGAGTCCTAAATTATTTATTTTTGATATTACAGATTATACTAAATTTTCACATATAAGGTTACTTTCTAATGATAGCTATCATAAGAAGCATATTTAGTTCCAGAAAGATTCATTTTGAGGCTTTTGATACATTTTGCCAAATTGCTATCATTTTATTTCACTGTATTTCCTCCTTTGCACATCTTTATAAGTATTGAATATTAATATATACTTGAAAACTTTTCAAATTTGATAAGTTAAAAATTATACATCAAAAATCTTTGCAAATAGATAAAGAAAATGTGGTATATATCTACAATGGAATATTATTTGGCATAAAACAAAGAAGGAAATCCTGCCATTTGCAAAAAATGGTTGAACCTTGAGAGATGATGCCAAGTGAATAAATCAGACAGAGAAAGACAAGTACCATATGCTCTAACTTATACACAGAATCTGAAAAACAAAACAAAAAACTGAACTGACAGATACAGAGAACAGATTGGCAATTGGCAGAGGCAGAGGCAGGTCATGGGGGGATGGGTGAAATGGGTGAAGGTAGCTAAAAGGTACAAACTTCCAGTTATAGAATAAGTAAGTCCTGGAGATGTAGTGCACAGTTATGGCGATTATAGTTAATAATACTGTATTGTATATTTGAAAGCTGCTAAGAGAGTAGATCTTAAAAGTTCTTATCACAAGGAAAAGAAACTTGTAACAATGTGTGGTGATGGATGTTAAGTAAACTTACTGTGATCATTTCATAATGTATACATATATCATTATGTTGTACACCTCAAACTAATATAATGTTATATGTCTGTTATACCTCAATAAAAAGAATCTTTGCAGATTTTTTAGTTTATAAATCGCATATTGTTTTCATTTTCATTTTCTATTGTTAGTATGGGTGAATCTTTCCCATGTTTTGTTATCCAATTGTATTTCCCTTTTGAGTTGACTTTTTTGTCTGTTGCCTATTTATCCTTTGAAGTCTTAATACTTGTATTCCTGATGATATCAGCCTTTTGTACACATTCATATATTTCAGGAAGCAGCTTATATCCAGGGAAAGAACACCATACTGGGGTTCATGAAAATCTACCGTGTGTGACCTGGAGCAAGTAACTTCTCTTTTCTAGGCTTCAGTATCCAAACCTATAAAATGAGGGTGAAAGAGTAGAAGTTCCAAGAACAAGGAAAAGGTCGAGCAGATGGATCTTCCTCTAAAGCTCCTGCCTCTGCTTTGTCTAGAAAATATTTCCTTTTACCTATTGAGATATATAAATATATGTACATATATTTCCTGCAGCCCTTCCATTTCTAATGGCCATGGATTCATTATTCTGCCATACACAGAATGCAACCCTGTTAAAGAACAATTCTGTGGTTGTTATTTCCATTTTACAGATGAGGAAATGAAGACACAGTCCAGGTAAATAAATCATTCATCAAGTCTGCCTAAGAGTAAGCCATGCCTTCCAACTATTTGTGGTCCCTAGTCCCTTCCTGAATCCAGAACGAACCTCTCTTCCTGAATCCAAGCTCTTCCTGAAACTAGGCTGCCCAGAATTTCAGGATTCTCCAGTATGTACATCCTTACAATGTCATGCTTAACAAATCTCCATCCTAAACCACTTGAGGTAATTGTGTTCCTTAAAGCCAAAAAGGCAAATTCTTCAGAGTAAAATAGAAGTCATCTCAAGTTAATAATCCTCACAGCATAAGAACTAGTCACTGACCTCATAAAGGACTCCTCTATATGCTCAGTCACATAGGCCAGAGGGAGTTACTATACCACTTGACTTCTGCCACATCTTCCCCCTCCAATTTCCTTATGCAATCATTCTTCAAAAGTTTCAAAACTTTCTTTAAAAATTGTATACCATCCAGTAATAACATCAACACAGTGCCAACACATAACATCACAAGTTGGAGAAATAAAGGTTCAAAGAGTTGAAGTGACCTGCTCAACATCACACAGTTGGAAAGCAGATTCAGGTTTTTAGTCTCCTAGCCCAGCGTTCTTTTCATGCAACCACTATCACTCAACATCATCTCCTTTGATAATTGTTAGTTGGATACTCATGCTCAAGCTGATTCATCATTATTAGAATCCCTAAGCAGTCAGTCCCTCTACCCTGGGGATCACAAAAGGAATCAAAAGAGACCAAAAGTTATTTCTCTCCTATCAAATGAGTAAGTGAATAAATCCATGGAAAACTTCTCTATCCTGCATATTGGCATAATTAGAAACTGTAGTGCAAGTCAAATAGCATTTTAATACTAGCAAGCTCCTAGCTAGGAAGGAGTTGGAGCTGGAAGTCCTGACTTATTTCTTGACCAGTCTGTGAAGATTTGGTAGAGCTACTTGACACAGGAGAAATTTTGAGGACAGCTAGTAAGAAGAGGTGACATTCCACGTAAAGGATGCTGCTTTTGAGAAGGCTCTGATTGTTAGATACTCCTACATTCGGTAAAAGTCTGGACCTGTTTTTTCAGAGGTCCTTACTGCCCCAAGATGTGATTGAATTTCTCAAGATTATAATACTCTGCAACCCTAAAACTCTGAAAGCTCCCAAGTCCCTGAAGGCTGTAAAATCTTGTAATTCTCGTGGAACAACTTTACAAAGGGAGGATGAAGTTGAGGAATAGGCAGTTCTTAGCTGTCTCTTCTTCTCTACCCGCCCCACCTCCAACCGAATTAACTATTTGTAAGATAAATTCTAGCCGAAATAAGCAGGCAAAGAGAAGCAACAAAGGGCCAGGTAATTTATTTGAATGCCCCCGGGAGGACGTGCTACCCCCTCCCCGCAGTGCCTTCAACCTTGCACTATTCACTTTGAGTTCCAAGTGCTTCAGTGCCCGTTTGGGCAATATGAAAATTATGGCACATTCATTCCTGGAATAGTTTATACTATGCATATAATTAAAATGACCAATAAAAATACTTCGTATAAAAAACAATACATAAATTTAAAATATACACAGGGGAAAAAAGAAAAGGAGTGACAAAGGTAATCGTGATTTTTGGTTGGTGGTATAAGAAATCATTTTTATTTTTGTTTTGCCTTTCCCACTTCCCCAGTCGTCTAAATTATGCACGTATTTTCAGGAAAAAAAATATGTTAAGTTCCAACGTGTTACGCCACACCTGGTGCCACTCATTTATCTCGCGGTTGGAACGGGGAGAAAGGTCATCTCAAAGGACTGGAGGGGAGAAGCCAGCTGGACTTAAACTGCCGCGGCTTTGAAGGGGCGGGACCAGCCCTGGATAGGGCGGGGACTGATCTGCGCAGCCGGGTTGAACTCCTACGGGGCAAACTCCAGCCGCAAAAGCTGGGAATGACGTGGCAGCTGCTCCTGGCCATGAAGGCCTGCCTGCCCCAAGCCACCCCCTGCGCCCGGCCGATGCCCTACCCCGCCCTGCCCGCTTCCAACCTCTTGCCTCGCCCCATTGAAGCCTCGAATATCTGGGTCTCTGAGAACTGGAGGGCTCCCTATCCCATTTCCATACCCGCCGCCATGCTGAGAGTGGCCAGACGGAGGAGGGTGGAGTCACTGGCTCTTTCGGCCTCTGCTGTACCCTCCCAGTGTTTCCCCCTCGTCGTGGGTTTTCGGTACCCGAAGGGAAGTGATTTGCCTTTGGAGCTGGGCGTTTTGGTAAAGTGCAAAGTCAGCTGCACCGCCTCCAATTTCCTGGAGGCTGGTGGGTTTTAGTGTTCCAGAGGTGATGTCATCACAAAACCTTTCCCAGGTCCTAAAGCCTGTGGTTAGGAACTCAGAACCACTGCAAATCAGAGATCCCTAGAGATTAAGGGACCATATAATTCACTGTTCAAACTGGAACAGCTTTGAGAGCCTAAGGGGATACTACTGATAATTAGGATTGGTACAACAGTCATAAATAAAGATTATTCTGGAACTTAGAATCAGCTACCCTACTTAGAGATCACCTGGTACTGGGTCTGATTTTTTTTTTTTATTGTTGTCAAATGTAAATAATACAAAATTTTCCATTTTAACAATTTTTAAGTGTACAGTTTAGTCGCATTAACTGCATTCATAATGTTTTGCAACCATCACCATGATCTATTTCCAAAATTTTTCAGCACCCCAAATGGAAACTACTTTTTAAGCAATAATTCCCCATTACCCCTTCCCACCAGCCCCTGGTAATCTTTAATTTCTGTCTCTTTGAATTTGCCTATTCTAGGTATTTCACATAAGTGGAATCATACAGTATTTGTCACTTTGTGTATCTCGCTTATTTGACTTAGCACAATGTTTTCAAGGTTCATCCATGTTGTAGCATGCTTCATTCCAGTTTATGGCTGAATAATACTCTATTGTATGGGTATACCACCATTTGTTTATCCATCAGTTGATGAACACTTGGATTGTTTCTACCTTTTGCCTATTGTGAATAATGTTACTATGAACA